AATCGAGGAACCACCAGTCCATCCTCCGATGAAATCCTCAGATACTCGCCCCGCCCCCTTACTGTGTATCGCTCACTGATTGGACGATGCAGTGCATGCACTGATCTCATGCTTCTTGTTCTTGACATGAGAGCAGTACCCCAGCGGAGTGAAGAAAATAAATGAAACTCACGAGAGTCACTCCTCAGTTTAAACTGTGTTTCGTTTCAATTCATGTATCATTTAGTTACAAATATGTGATATATCTGAACAACAAAGTGTCAAAAATCATTTTATTCATTTATTGGAAACATTTTCATGATCGCTTTTTTCGTTTTATATTTTCATTTACTGTCATTTCCATTCAGTCATTCATTAAGTGCTATTAAAATGTTAATGTGCTACATCCACACAAACAAACAAAGTGTGCAATCCAATGAATGTTAATCTAACTTGGTTTTGATAGATAATATATATATTTTCCTTCTCTCAATTATTTTATTTCTATTGTTCACTCTAATCAATATTAATCAAAAATATTGTTCGTTTATACATTTTAAGAATGGCGTTTATCTTTTTTGAGAATGAGTTCTTATTTGATTTTATTTATTGGGGTCTACAACAGATGATAAAAATGTTTGTGTCAGTAAATGTGTGGCAGGGGTGTTTGTGAAAATAACAGCGGCGTCATCACAAACGGACGTCGCTTCACGTGACGCTCCGGAGGAAAGGACGTCCCATTGCTCTTAAAACTCATTTCCCTGCTTTTCGTGGTTTCCTTGCGTCCCTCCATGCTTCCCTGGAGGGAGGGACTAAACACAGGGAAACGACACAAGTGAGGGAAGCAAGGATTTCATTTAACCGACCTGAGACGGGGCCATAGAGAGGATGTGGGACTGATGGATACGTATGAGGGGCCGTTAGGGACATTATTCAGAAATACCGTTCACACACACATTACTCATTAGCTTACATTTAAATAATGAGTAGGTTTTCTGTTGATTGTGCATTTTGGAAGTTAGTTCCCGCAAACAAAGTTACAGTTATTTAGAAAACATTCTATTATCAGTTCCTTTCACCTGGTAAGAGGGCTATTATTTTACTTTCTGCGCGTTTCTGTGTAGCTTTTGATGCGATGTGGGGTGGGAATCATCTTGACACATTGCATATCTTTGATACTACCAACGCTTGTTGAGCTGTGTGTTGCTAAGGAACGTCACAATGTCCTTTCTGGTCCAATCACTGTTGGAGAAAGATGTCACCTGCTTTAAACTGACCAACCAGAGAGACCTTACCGTCACAACCTGTTGGTTGAAGTCTATTGAAGACTTCACTACAACAGACTTTGTCATGTTATGTTTATGTCAACTTGTTCATTTTGCCTCCTAAACTAAAAACGGTGCTCTGCCTATGACATTTATGTTCAAGTCCTGAAGAATACAATTTGGTTTATCATATGGTAAGACGGAGAATTTGTTTGTCAATTGCACAGACGCTAGAGGGCTGTGTGTAGCTAATAAGCTAAAGCCGATGCCAGGCTAATGTATTGTGTACAGTAAGCTACTTCTGGCTAAACTACTTTACCTTGTATCTTTAAGACTGTTACACCTTACATAATTATCCACGTAAATTGCTGAATGTCTAATGTATCTTAGAATATTGTCAGTGCATTTTTCGTTATAATTTGGATTTTGATAGCTTTGACTGCCTATGTGGATTTTAGAAACCTAATGTAAATGTCATTGTTAGTGGAATCTGCAACTTTTTGAAATGTTTTTTCATTAATGTATTGAACAATATTCTACCCTGTTCCATCACGTATGTCAAAAGTCGCCTTAGAGAATGCAAAATACACTTCATAATCTCCAATTGTTGTCATTCTGTTGATTTTGCCTCTAAGATTAAGATAAAATCTCTCCATCCCTGTTTGACTTGCTAGCATTTACACAAGCAACATTAGGAGCATTAGAAATATGTATTTCAACAGAGAATGTCTATCATATTTTGTAATTGTGCATTATTAATAATAATAATAATACCTGGAACCCCTAAAAACTCATGTTATCAGCCTTCTCTAATGTAATAGTTTGGAATGGTTTCACAGAGGAAAGCAATGAGAACTCGGTCAAGTTCTCCTCCAATCCATCTTCACATCAGCGACTCCACCCCGGTCCACGTGCACGTGAAGAGCCAGAGGAGTCCTGCCAGCCAGCCTCAAGTCACACACCCACTGATGCTGGCATGTCTTTATTGTATATACTTTAATTTCATATTGCAAATGTGCGTCTTTTGAGGACATGTACGTACCCTTTTTCTTTATTCTTATTATCTGATCAAAAGTTAAGATATTGTGTGAAACTCAAGATTCTGTGGTAAGATAACATAAGATAAGGTGGACCTTTATTGATCCCTGTATGGGCAATGCAGGTGTTATAGCAGCAACAGAGTCAGAGTGAAATACAGGACGGTACAGATAAGAGTTCACACAAGGAGTAACTGTTAAAATAAAATATCTCAAAAACAAGGAAAATGGTGATCAGTTGAATGATCATATATATTTTATATATATTTTATTTGTTCTCATGCAATTTAGTGTGTATGCTGCGTAAAGGGCTGATGTGACATGCTGCTGCTCCCTCTGCACTCTGTGTTAAAGGAGAAGACCAACGTGGACAGGGGAAACCTCCGTCCTACAGCCAAGGTCAAAACTCGAGTTCCATGGATACCACCGGGAAAGGCTTCCATACGGGACGCTTCATACAAGTGGGAGGTAACACATACTAAACTCAAATGACTTCTAAATACCATCCTCTGTTAGATTTTAAATATTGCTCCTGCAGTTAAAGATGTTGTGTTACTGACAGTGTAATATGCACTAAGGGTCCAACGCACCGCCTTGAGATCCCCCCCCCTCTCCATGAAGAGCCTGAACACTCCCAGTCTGCGCTGCGACTTGCTGACCTCACATCAGAGGAAGAGGAGGGGCTGCACGGGCGGATCAACCAGTATGAGAGGAAGATCGAGAGCTTACTGACTGAGGTCAGCTCTCTGAAGATTGAGGTCAGTTTCCCCATGTCCACTCTGATCTCAGCAGATCAGCATCACACACCAGGCTTCACATCATAAACAGAGTTTGCATTTTATTGGCCTCATATTAGTTTCATTGTTTGTTTGTAGGCAGTGATTGTTTCAAATCAGTTATTAGATGTCATTATATTACAATTATCATTCTAAAGTTACAACTTGCTTCAGTTTTTTGATAGCAGTTTTTCCAATAGTGAATGGTAAAGGGCCCTCCACTGATGTTCTCTACGGTGATCCGTTTACTCGTTGTGTGAAGTGAAGTTAGTGACCCTATGGCAACATGTGTATGATGAAAGCTGTCTTACAAGCTTGGCACATAGAGTTTGAAAGTTGGTGCATTTACAGGTAGGGTCTCATGGAAGATCATATCCAGTTGCATTATGGGTAATGTTCACTCAACTTCTGCTGCGTAAATTCTGACAATTTAAATCAAAAATCATGTCTCTTGGGTCCTGTAAGAAAATGCAAATATTCTTTGTCATGGCTTCTAGCTGAAACTATTTTATTTTTCACACAAATTCGTGGACCATTTACCTCTGAGTCTCTGTGTTGTTGTTTTAAAAAAAGATCTTTGCCACTATGGTGCACCTGAAACACAACAATATTTAATGTGTGATGCTACTTTAATTACATTGCATTTATATACAAATAAAGTGTGCAAGAAGTAAATGAAGTTTGATACTTGCATAAGACCAGAGAAGGCTGCTGAGGTCCCTCCTTTTATCAAATGTGGCTTCTGTATTCTTGGGGATCCAATCATTTGACAGGCTGTGTCCATGTGTAATTTGGTTTTACATGGGCGTAATATGGGTCTAATAACAGTGTATTATGGGTATAATATTGGTGTAACCATGATGTAGCATGGGTGTAATAACCAAGTAATATAGGTGTAATACAGTGTAATTATGAGGTATATTTATGTTTAATAACAGTGTAACACGGGTGTGATACTGGTGTAATAACAATGTAATAGGGCTGTTATAGCGATGTTTTAATGTGTAATATGGGTGTTATATGGATAAAACCAATCAATATATGTTACATGATATTTATATGTGATTGCACATTTAAGGGTTAAGAAGCTGTGCATACTAAATGATGACTGAGTGGACGTTCACACATATGCAGTTTTATGAATTAGACAGAGTTCAATTAAGTACATGCTTTTTAAAGTTCTAATTATCAGACTATGATGTCAATAGATGGAGCCTTGGTAAAGAACAAGCGGACCGCAGTAACAATGTTTGTGTGTTTGTCCACATGTGTGTTTGCACATGTGTGTGTGTGTGTGCAGGTGGAGCTGCGGAAGAAGGAGCAGCTGCTGGAGCGTCAGTCGGAGCAGCTGAGTGTGTCCCAGCGGCTGATGGAGGAGCAGGAGGAACAGCTGAGTGTCTCCCAGCGGGTGATGGAGGAGCAGGAGGAGCAGCTGGAGGAGGTGAGCAAGGAGCTGCAGCACACTGAGAGAGAGAACTCACGACTGCGCCTGTCCATGGAGAAGATACTGGAGGAGAGCGACTACAACAGGTAAACACAGCAGCCCTTCTTCTTCTTCTTCTTCTTCTTCTTCTTCTTCTTCTTCTTCTTCTTCTTATATATATTCTTTTATAAATAAAAGGGAAATAAAAATAAAAATACATATTGTCAGTGAAAGATATTTACCTGAAGACTCAAATAAACACTACCAAGGGCCAATTACAGCTAACAACATTTAGAAGTACGATATTATTTACATTGAGTTTTATTATTATATTAAATATAAATGTACAAGGTAAAGTGTGAAGACACTTTGGACACGGTTATTGCAGATGGCAGGAATGACTGTTCTTGTTCTTCTTCGAGGTTATTGGGTAGATTGCTCAGATATCAGTGTAGTTATTTTAAAACATGTAAACAATGCAATCATCCAGCTTTACTGTGGGGAAATGTCCTGATGTCCTGAGGGCAGTGTGAGGGTGGACCTCGCTGGTCTCTGATGTAAAGCTTGGTGTTGGAAGGCTTCTGGTTCCAGTGAGGAGTCTGAGTCTGGATCTGCTCCTGTCTTTCCTCTGCAGAGGGGACGGGGGCAGTCTGCAACAAGACAGAGCAGCTCTGCAAAGGACGCTGATGGAGGCTGAGGGGGGGGGGGCAGCAGCGGCCCAGCAGCTCTCCTCCCTGAGAGACTCTGTTTCCAAACTGTGCTCTGCTGCTGGCACTGTGAGTATCTCTCTCACTGTCAGTGCTTCTGACTTTCTCTAGAGCTACACATTTAGCTTTCATAAATGTTGATATTATATTGATGTTTTATTTTTATATTGTTTGACAAATTGATGACTTATTGGAAGTAGGGGGAGCACTATATTTAAGCATTTACAGTACATAGCTTTCTTCCACCCCCCCCCTAACTGGGGGTTCCTTTGGAAGTTTTCCCTTGTCCGCTGTGAGGGTCTAAGGACAGAGGGTGTCTTATTCATATTCTGTACAATTTATTTTATAGGTTTTATTATTTTATTGTATTGATTCATTTTGACTTATATCTTCCTTTATTTTACCGAGACGGATGGTTATTTATTTTAATTTGTATTATCAAACCTTTTACGTCCTTGTGTCACTAAATGATGATGTTATGCATGCGTGCAAAGAGGTTTTAATGTTTGACCTGAAGTGAATTTCTTCTTCTCTGTTTTAATTTGTGATGTATGCCATATTGTGAAAGCACTTTGAGCTGCACCTGGGGGGTATACTACGAAGCAGGATTTTCGCTTAGCCGGCTAACTTCAGGGAAAACTCTGGGTTTCCGGTCCTACGAACCTGGTTCTCTTTTTAGCAGGCTAGATCTCCATGGTAACTTACTGTATGCTGTGCGGCTAACCTGCCCCGGAGCAGGTTAGGTTGCAGGCTAAGAGCTCAACTCAGTGAAAGCACTGTCTGCTGACCAATCAGAGCTCAGTGTGCGGAGTTTAAAGCGATCAAGTCATATTACAGGAGAAAGGAAATACAGAAAAGCTGCCGTTGCAGGAAAGACGGCCGGCAAAAATCAGCGACTGTGTGAACGTGAACATTAATAGAATATCACCTCCCATCTTCAGAGCAATCTGACTATTATAACATTAGCGTTAAGAAAGCTTACTTAAATATCTGCCACAACATAAGTAACCGGATCAGGGTAACATTAAGTACAGTCCGCGGCATATCACAACATAATGTATCATATATTTCTTTATCTGAGTCAGCTGAGCCGTATCTGGCCGTGCAACACTCACAGTGTCACATACTGTATGCAGAAGTATTATTTTAAGCAACACATTAAGTTGACGAAACACTCGAGTCAAATGTAATTAAAGTCAGATCGTGTCTTAGACGGGGCAGTGATATCATAAACCTGTTAATGTACGCATTCAAACGCCTGTTCTTTTACCAGCTGTATTCACCTTGCAGGTGCAACTATGTGGCTTTTATCCTGGATAAAGTGTTTAAGTCATGGATGTTTAAAGTTTAACTTCTTCATATTTTAATAATATTAAAGTTCACTTTTCATTCAGGAAGTATGACGCTGCGCTGTCAGTATGCTTCTCCATGTTTGTGATTGGTCGAATGCTCCAAATACCACCCATTTCATGTGAACGCGCACCTAACTAGATAGGACACGGCTGGCTTGAGCGATCCACTTGATAACCCGCGTTGTAGTACAGTTTAGCGAGAGCGCGTATGTTTTGGATTAGGCCAACCGGCTAACTCAAACATATCCAGGTTAGGTTGAACCAGCTTCGTAGTACAGGCTTCAGGTCTCTTCATCTCTCTTTTCCTCTTTCTACTCATCCTTATCACTTCTCAGATATGTATTTTTTTGTTGTTGAGTCACTCCAGCTACTCTGGCCTGCAAGAGTCGACTTGTGAAAAGCACTGGTACAAATGCTTGTATAACTTCACACGTTAGGGCCATGTAGCTAATAAGTAGCAGATAGTAAATATAAGAAAGTATTTATCAAACGCACACAGGCAGCTGTGTTTAGAACCAGTTTGACGGTAAAGGATGTATCCTGGTAGGGCTGTGCGATTATGGCAAAAATCATAATCACGATTATTTGGGTCAATAATTTATATCACGATTATTTTTACAGTTATTCATTGAACATTTATTGAACTTTAAAACAAATAATATTTTACCAATAAACAAGATCAACAAATATGTTGGAGCGCACTTCCAAAACCATACTAAACATATATTAATATGATAAATAAAAATAAATT